AGAAGTAACATAGCCTATGACCTGAAAGTTGGCCCCTTTTTAGTGTGTGGCAAGCCAGCTGGTCTGAACTTCCAAACCAGCCGTGTGGGTTCACAGGACACCCACCTTTCCCATCTTATAAGTGAATCAGCATACAAAAGGGGCATCTTCAAATTGGGTTTTACTGTATTTTTCTCCTTGATCTTTTATTTTTTCTTTTATGTATTATTTTATGTATTTTTCTTTTAATTTGACTTGTATGTTTTCCAAATTGTTATTCTAATTATCATTCTAATTTGGGTTGATTCACATATAGATTATAATCTAAAAAACAATAAAATTACATTTATAGAGCGTCTCTCACGTCGGGAGGACGTCATATTACAAAATAAACAATCGTATCTGGAATTCAGGACATTTCACAGATGATTTCAGTTCCTACTTCTTTAGGCTTTGACATCATATGACTATAAATGCCAGCATTCCAAGCATTTTTAACAATTATATTGACATTTTTTAGAAATTAATACAATACAGAGGTCATTCACAAAAAATTCCAACCTATTTGCTATTGTGCATGGACTGAAAGATCAATTGTCACTGAAGTGGGTTTGGTTTATATTGTTTTGTAATGTAGGACAATCAGTAGGTGAATGAAGCGCTGTTTGATTTTCTTTGTTTAAAGTGCATGTTTTTTTAAAAAAAATAACTATACAGCTAACAAAGCACGATAATTTTCATGGTACATTTTACACGATACCTATCTAGAAACCGCAGGGTTGAACACACGCCTACTCCTCCAAGTTTCATTGATGAGTCAGACAGTTCAGAACATGTCTACACCTCTGAGTCTAATTGGTGAGCTAAAAAAACAATGCCTGGGATTACTCAGGAGTTAAGCGGTTTCAATCTGTCACCCTTCTTGTAAGCTTTTCAACTCCAGTGGAATTGTACTTAAATAAAAATAATCTTTACAATTGATATAACACCTTTCAAATCTGGGGGATGTCTCAAAGTGCTTCACAGGATTTACCGTAATGATTGTATTTTGTAATTTGGAGTGAGGAGTGTTAATCTGGAGTAACCAGTTTACTCTATGTCGCAAATTGTTTGATGTGGGCTAAATTCTATTTCATTTAGTTTGGCTGGGACACTGGGAGAAACTCCCTTCTCTATCTAGTGTGCCCTGGAATCTTTAGCACTCACTAGAACAGGCGGACTTTCGTTTAACATCTTGTTCTTATATCGGTACTTCCAACAGTGCATCGCACCTCCAGAACTTCACTGGAGTGTCAGCCTAGATCACGTGAGTTCAAAGTCCTGATGTGGTGCTCAAACTCACAACCTTTTGACTCGAAGGTGAGAGTGCTACCAACTTTTACCCTCCACGGGAGAATATTTGTAAACAAGGGTCGAAAAAGGAAAGAGCTGAGTGGACTCATTGAAATTCAAACCCAGAACCTCTGAGTCCTAAACCTACTAAGCTACCTTAGATGATTTCTATTTTTTTTAAATCACTTACTGGGGGAAATGGAAGTTTTACCACTATTTGTTTAAAACTTTTAATTTCTGAATGAGTTCATTTCAAGCTAGGGAAAGTAATTTTAGAATTAATGTTTTCCCTGCTGATTTTCTTTCCTGTATTTTGACTTTCCATTTCCAGAACGGGTAATGATAAAGAAGCTCCATCAGTTTAATGCCAAATAAAATAAAAATGTTACTCCTGTAATCTAAACCCCTTTCAGGAGCTAGCATTTGTCAGACATCGGCTTCACCTTATTAGTATGTGACCTTTTAGTTAACAAGCTATGATAATTAGAATGGTATTGCCCTCCAAGGCTGTAATAACCATTTTTACTTCAAAGAAAACTACAAAGAGATGGGAGCCACTCAGAACATTAACAAAATTAGAGCAATTTTTCTGAAGCTTATGATCCTTGACAATAAGACCAGCGTTAAGATTTGACAGATTTTGTAACTGAAAAGCCATATTTATGTTTTAAATCTTGATTCGAATAAGTGGCTAATGCAGAATATTTTTGCAATGCATAAAAATCATTCATGAAAATGAAGTGGTTAATTATCAGGAAAACCTTTGAAGGCACAACTAACTGCAATGGAAGTGCAGAGAGAAAAAAAGGAAAATAGCAAATCGGGAATGAAAAATTGAGTTCAGCAAAAACGTTTAGATCAGAATAATGTCAGCCGCTTGAGCCTGTTCCACCATTTTATAAGATCATGGCTGATCTGTACCTCAAGTCCAGTTACTTGCTCTTGCTCCATATCTCTTAATGCCCTGACCTAACAATTACCTATTCGAAGTGCTCTGAGACGCCATCCGGCGTGGAGAGCGCTATATAAATCCAAGTTTTAGTTGTTGTTATCTATCTCCGTTTTAAAAATACGAATTGAAATGTCCAACCAGTGACCATACTGCTTGGAACAGAGCTAGTTCACAGTGCTCCAGGGCACTGGTGATGGTGGACTTGTAGGGCTATGCTGTGGCCAGGGATTATTCTGACTTGGTTCTATTAACACTGCAAGCCAAATCCCTGATAAGTCACTATTTCAAATGCAAGGATTATTATTATTATTCTTTGCAGTGGTAAGATGTGTGGTTAAGCTGCTTAAACTGCAGACGTACCCCAATGAACACACTGGGATTCCCAAATCATGCCCTTTGTCAACTTGCGCCTATATAAATGGAAGCTGTTGTTGATCCACCTAATTTTCTGTGATTTGGAAAACAGGCAGTTCCTCAGAGAAAGAGTGAGGCCCCTCCATATAGAAAGCCATACAAATCTGGAAATCTCAGTATTTTGGAGACTTTTAAGCATGTTGATGGGTTTCCACATTTGTCAGATAACTGACTGACTAAAAAAAATCATCAGGGCCACACTAATTGATGTGTCTTGTTTGTCGGAGGAGGAAATCTTTTTTCAAACAACTGTAGCAACTGAACTGCTTCTGGTAACAGCAACCTTGAATGCCCTTGTCACTGGGAGATTCCAAGCACCGTTGTAAGACATTGGTCAATCCTCTTTGTCCAGACAATATGGTGCTATACAGCAAATGTTCTAATTTTATCCTTTTCTTGTAAGCCGTGGAGGAGAGAAAAAAGGCAACTGCAGTATTTTGCAATATGATGTGAAAAAATGTCATGTGTAGCACATGTTGCCAATAATAATTGAGATACTACCTTGTGTGGACGGGCTATACAAGTGCAAGTTGTTATTGTTGTAGTTTGTCCATGATTAACAGGAATTGAAACCTCTTGGACCAGGTTGTGAAATCCCTAGATTTATTGCATGACTAAGCCACAAATTTGTGCATAAGTTTCTTCTACTGGAATTCAAATAAGCACCTTGATTAATTATCCTTGAGAATTAAAAATAAATTAAAAGCCATTTTGTTGTCGCCTTCGTACTTTCAAAGTACTCTGATGGTAGTGTATTACCACAGTAGAACAGATAGTTTTATATTCCTTTATCAGTAGGCTCTCATTTTAAAATTATTTTGCATGAAACATTTTCCTGGAAATATCCAGCATCTTGAAATCTGGATTTAATTTAGCTATTTTGAATCAATTGTAAGAATACAAGATGTATTTTGGTCATTTACAGTTCAAGGTTTGTATTGATGATTTCCACCCCAATTGTACTGCTGGAAACAATCTGAAATCACTTCCAACGATTCACTGCTAAATATGATAATAATAATAATAATAACAATCCTTGCATTTGATATAGATATAACATATCCTCAAGATGTCTCAAAATCGACTTATTTCCTGCTCCAAAATTACTTTTGAGGTTATGTGTGCTAAGCTTCTTTAACGGGTGGTGAACGCAGTTTACTTTTTGTTAAAGTGCTGATAATGTGATAAATTCTTGAGGGCGATGTAATCAGACTACCCAAGAATGTTTATCGGACTATTTCAACAACAACAACAAAATTACATTTGTATAGCGCCTTTCACATTTGGAGGACGTCCCAAGGCGCTGGAAGCAACAGCAACTTGCAATTACACAGCACCCTTCAAGCGAGGCAGCATCTTGGAGAGTTAAACAGCAGCGGAGCCTGATGCTGAGCCGGTGTGGGGAGGGGGGGGTGGGTGGCGAGAGGAGGTAACCGTAAGCAAGGTCAAAGAGGAAGTTGTTGTTGAAATGGGGGTTTGTGGGCTTTGTCCATCCTTTCTGCTGTGGATTTAACATAGCTTTGTTTCACTAAATCGATTCAAAAAGCAAAGCATAAATAGAACATTAGGTTGCTCTTGTTGTATCTACCAGCTCAGTAGGGGAAATATTGCATTGTTCTATGTAGGGAATAAGAAATTATTAAAAACTGCTCTCAGCAGGCGTTTTCAGTGTTTATTGGAAAATAAAGTCAGGCCCAGCTTTATTGGAAAATAAAGCCAGGAGTCACAGTGACGATGTAATGATAGTCAGAGGCATTGCATTGCATTTAGCTTGACAATGTTTGCACCAACAACCTTTTTTAACACCTTTAAAATTTCCTGACAGAGAACTCCATTATCTCTCTTAAAAAACTTTATGATCCAAAACAATTTAGAATCTGGGTGGGCTGAGCAGAATGCAGCAGTGCTTCACAGCTATCGTTTGGAACAATTACAGCCATGAAGAATCACCTTCACAGGTGTCTTATCCATCAAGCTATAGTCACTCCCCCCACCCCAACCACCACCACCACCACAAGTGTCGAGAAAAATAGTGCTCTTTGAACTTAAATAGAACAGTCAGTGTCATTTGTATCTACACAAGTTCTGACAACCAGTCTGTTGCAAAAGAAGCTTTGCAATGCTCTTTAAAGGGTATTTTTTTAAGTGGCATTGCAGGGCTTCAATCGTCGAAATGTCCTGGATATTGGAAAATCCATTCACTGGAGCACGCTGGAAGTGATGTCTTCTGTTGCTATTACTCAGCCAGAATACGCAGGTTTCGTGCATGTTTTGTTGTGTGGCAGCAATTTTGTCTAAAACATTTTTGTTGATTGCTTTACAGATGCTGTGGAATTTATACACCAGCTTCCAGCTTTAGAAAACAAGTAAAGGCAAGTTACCACAGTTTTCCTTCCCCTTGAAGCTAAAGGAAAGGTTGTGAATTTTACAGGTAAACCATCGAGAAGAACAGTTTTTCCAATCCATCATTATGTCTCAGTACTCATTCAGTCACTTTTCTCAGGGCAGTTTGATTCAGTTTAGCTTATAAAATGTACAGTCAAAATGTATAGTCAATTTTCTTTAGAGCATAGAACAAAACACAAAATACTGCAGATGCTGGAAATCTGAAAACAAAAAACAGAAGTCGCTGGGAACACTCAGCAGGTCAGGCAGCATCTATGGAGAAAGGAAAGTGAGTCAATGTTTCGGGTCCAGACCCTTCGTCAGAACTCAAACCCTCAGCCCTCAGTTCTGACGAAGAGTCGTGGATGCGAAACATTGATTCGCTTTTCCTTTTTCCATAGATGCTGCCCGACCTGCTGAGTGCTCCCAGCGACTTCTGATTTTGTTTTCACTTTTGAGTATTGTCTGTGAAGCACTTTGAAACGTCTCGAAGATGTGAAAAAGCGTTATATTAAATGCAAGGATTATTATTATTAATGTTCAAAATGTATTTTGAATTATAATTGACGAAACTGACAATCGCTCACATCTTTTTACAATTGACAAACCTTAGGTTGAAAGGGTTTTAAACGGTTTAAAGGAAAAATACTGACAGCTTATCAACCAGATCAAAGAAAATATTTACGAAGGAAGAGATATAGTAGGTAATTTTGTTGCTGGATTTCATTGATCAGAAAACGACTGTCTGTTTACATGATGCCTAGCTACGCTCAGGCTTAGGTGATAAGGTGATGATTTAAATCACTTTATTGATTTTATAGTTACAGGCTTCTTGGTGATTTATATACTATTGACTTTACTACCACGAAAATGGTTAATATCATGGGTGAACATTTCTGAGGTATAATTTACAGAAACTAAAGCTAATTCCACATTTATTGAAACATTTATTAATTTAATTAGTTTCTGAAAGATTTAACATTACATTAAAGATTGAACATTAAATGTTAAAGATTTAACATTAACAATCTGCCTGGATTAATGTATTTATGCCTGGGTAGAATCAAAATTTAATTTTGTCAACGAGAACAATTTTGTTGACAGGCTATTTTAATTGTGCAAATAAAACCAGAAGTTGGATGCGATATTTGTGTGTTGGAAAAGAGAACAAAGTTTGTTACTATGTCTTTGCAACAACCCTTCCCCAGATAAAATTATACAGCATAGAAGGTGGCCATTCGGCCCATCGTATCTGTGCTGGCTCTTTGAAAAGAGCTATCCAATTCAATCCCACTCCCCCGCTCTCTCCCCATAGCCCTGCAAACTTGTCCTCCCCAAATAATTATCTACTCTCTTAAAAGTTGTTATCGAATCGACTTCCATCACCCTTTCAGGCAATGCATTCCAGATCCGAACAACTCGCTGTGTGAAAAAATTTCTCCTCACCTTCCCTCTATGTCTTTTAACAACTATTTTAATCGGTGTCCGTGGGTGACCGACCCACCCGCCAGTGGAAATAGTTTCTCCTTGTTCACTCTATTGAATCCCCTCATAATTTTGAAAACTTCTATTAAGTCTCCTCTTAACCTTCTCTGCTCCAAGGAGAATAATCCTAGCTTCTCTAGTCCCTCCTGATAACTGAAGTCCCTCATTCCTGGTATCACCCTGGTAAATCTCTCCAATGCCTTGACATCCTTCCTAAAGTGTGGTGCCCAGAGCTGAACACAGTACTCTAGCTGAGGCCTAACCAGTACTTTGTTCATCATAAATTCCTGACTTCTGTATTCTATGCCCCTATTTATAAAGCCTAGTATCCGGTATGCTTCTTTAACAGCTTTATCTACCTTTCCTGCCACCTTCAAAGATTTACTTATGTGAACCCCCAGGTTTCTCTGTTCCTTCACCCCGTTTAAGATTGTACCATCAGCTTATATTGCATTGTGTAAATTTGCTGCCACATTTGCCTACAACATACACATTTATTTAACTTTATAAGAATTCCTGTGAAGCGCTTTGAGACATCCTCCTGATGATACTATTGACTATCATCTCATTTATTAATGTGTTTCGAAGTTGCAGAGAGAAGAAGGAAGATTTCAGCCAGCCTCAGGCTCAGGGATGTGATGCAGATACAATTCAGTCCAGTTCTTGGGGTTGAAAAAGTTGAGTTCAAGCATCAGTTGATTTGCCTCATTCTCACTTGTGGCCTGAAAGAATCCTTCCAAAACAACAAAAAATTGGTTACTCAATTCACGACTGTTTGTTGTACATAATTGGCTGCTACGTTACATCCACAAAATACACAGTCAATTCACTTTACAATATATTCTGTGAAGTCTTTGTGACGTCTGAACAACGTGATAAGGCACTATATCAAATGCAAGGATTATTATTATTAAGTCAGATTCAAATTGTAGTTCTCAAAACCTAAGTTCTACTCTTTGGGCAGTACTCAGAACATTTGGTGCTAGTGGAGCAGAAGACATCGTAAACATCTTTAAGCATTCAAAACAGTATTACTGCTGGCAGTGTTCCTTCATTTCCTTTTTTTCTTTTTCTTTGACTTGCTCAAGCATGACAGTCCATGCATCTCTCAGCTCTCTCTAGTTGGCACTGTTGCGACAGTAGATGATTAAGCCATCACAAAGTTAGCAATTCCAGGAGGGGTTTTGAACATTTTAAAATTCTATTAAACTTGTTGATGAAGAAGAAAATCAAAAATGTCATTGTTATTTTACAGAGCAATTTAATAGATTGATATAGAATTGTCTAACAATGCCATCATCAAACAATATTGTCGTCAAAAGAGGCTATTTCAATTTAAATTCCCGCATATATTCATTCCGGCTAAGATTATGTACAATTTCAGGCCTATTGACTTTTTAGGCAGGTAGAGTTATGGTCAGGACTGCTGGCTTGATTTCAATGTTGTTCCAGGGAGGAGGGGTGTTCTCATAATCTGACTGCACCATTGATTTAAAATTTAAAAAATCTATAGGTCTCTGGGATGTTGTTTGGTTCCCTGTTTGACACATTCCAGTCAGGTTTTTGCTCCACTCATACCATTTAGACCATCCTAGTCAAAGTTGACATTGTGTCACTGTGACCACATAACACACTGTCCCTCTTCATATCCCCAACCTGTTTGCTACCTTCAAAGTTGACCGTTGCACTTTCATTGTTCCATTCCAACCTGTCGCAACACATTCACTACTTCCAATACAGTGGCTCCTTATCTTGTGCCCACTGGTACACCACAGGGCTCTATCCTTGGTCGTCTCCTAGATTTCAATGTGGATACTGATTTGTCATAGCAGCTTCCATAACCATGTGATTAGTTTCAGTGTGTGTTGCTGATACTCAACTCTACCTGAACTACTACCTTTGATTCCAGGACTCTTGCTGTTCTAATCCATGGCTGTCTGCTAGTAAATCCTGGATAAGATCTAACTTTCTGTAACTGACTGTCAACAGGATTGAATCCATCTTGTTTGGTTCTCCCCTGCAACTATGTGACTAGTTTGATTAGCTTTCCTGGTTGTTTACTCAGACTGAACCAGTTGGTGTATATATAGTGTTGGTGTTCAGCTTTTGATCCTCAGCTGAGTTGCAAACCCAACATTCAGTCAGTCTCAAAATCTGCTTTCCTCCACTTCCACAAGAACGTCACCTATACCTTACCTTACTTGCACTGTTGCTGAAACGCTTATCCCTGTCTATGTTATCTTAAGGATAGATATTTCCATGTTTTCCTTGCCAGTCTCCGTAGCTCCAGCCTCCCAAAAGCTTTAAGTGATCCAGAATTCTGCAGTCTGTGTTCTCTCTCACACAAGGATCATCACATTTATTAAACTAATTTTTGCCAAACTGTATTGGCTTTTAGTACCTTCAGACAATAAAGTTCAAGCTACTTGTACTGGTGTTGAAATTACTCCACAGTTCTTTTGCAAACTATGGAAATCTTCTTTACCTCATTGTTCCATCCCGTATGTTCTACTGTTCTGGTCTGTTGTGCATTCCCCTTGCTTCTATATAAGAGGCGGCTGAACTTTCATCCACAATATCCTGCCCTCTGGAAGTCTCTTCCAAAATCATTTTGCCGTTCTACCTGAATTTCCGTCTTCATAAACCTCCTAAAAACGTACATCTTTGATTGTGCCTTTGGTCAACATCTTTAAATCTCGTTTCTTTTTATTATTTCTCTGCTTGGTGTCCACCACTTTATTGAGCAATTTGAGATGTTCTTTTATATGAAATCCACTATTTAAATGCAAGTTGTTTTCTAACTAATGCACAGATTGCAATCTGTTAAAGTATTCTTAATAATCCATCTTATTTGTTAAACTTCAAATTATTATACTCTTACTTTGAAGCACCGACTAATAATTGAGTCATTTTACTTATCAGACATAGTGATGCTGACAGGCAGATTGCAGTTTTTGATCATTTAAATGCAAATGCACCGCTGTCTTCCCTTTTGGCAGTTAAACACATAAATTACCTTTTGCAGCAACAACAATTTAATCCTGTTTATTTGAACATTTTGCAATTTAGTCCTTGTAAACGATGGAGAGCTGTAAATGCATTCCCAGTTGAATGCCTCATCCTCTCCCCCATGAATTGCATTATTTGTGACGTGAGAATAAAAAATAAAAAAGGGGGATACATATTGCTTGCTTTTTGATGAGTTGTGTGCAATCCTGTGCACATTGGAGTAAATTTCCTTCTTGGGATGTGCAAGTTCATTTATCAGTCTTGGGATGATATAAAGTTCTCCTGGCAAGTGTGATAGCATTAATAATTCGGAGCTCACCTGTTTTCATGGAACAACTCAACTCTTGCTTCATGGTTCTTTGTATTCAATATACATGAAGGGTGCTATATAAATGCAAGTTGTTATTATCCTGTGAAGGTGAGTTTTTATTTGTTTTTAATGTTCTGTTTAATTTCAGGCAAAACATCCAAGTGCAAATATACTGAAGTTTAATGGGCCATGAAAATTACTGGCAACATCAAAAGCTAGACTGCATAA